TCGGTTATTCCTTTCAACAATGAACTCCCCAACAATGAATCACTAAAACATCCATTAAATCTGGCTTTAACTCGCAGCACCTCCTGAGGAGACATATGTGTATGTGTGGCCCTTTGTCATGGTAATAAAATAAAGCAGCAATATAGTCATCCAGACCCCCACCCAATCTGTCCTCCTCTGTGTGGGTAGGAAGGCATTAGCAATCCAATGCAGCACGACGGTGCTCTGCCTTTCACTCTCACCTGCTGGGCCGGGGCTTCAGGAGACTCTGGCCGGATGGAAAAGCCATAAAAATAAGTCATTATTGACTTTCACAGGATGCTGGGGAGGAGGGGAGAGGCTCAAGACATGAGAGAGATCTCTTCTAGAGGTCCAGTGAGATGGGTTTTAAAGGTTGATGCTCACATTTGTAGACTGAAGATGCTCATATTCAATATTCTGCATCATTTTCCAATTGTTTTAACTTGACCTGTACTGCATCATGCAAAAAAGCTCTGTTTAGTTTAGTGTTGGTTCTCTAAAATCAAATGTCTTGAAAATATCGAACTTTTTATTGTACAAAGGGACGGAACTACAGAGTATTGTCATAATCAAGTTATCTTAATGTCAGAAATTGTCAGTATGTACCAATTAGAGATTTATAAAACCGAGAAAGCAAGAAATGTAACTGAAGTAATGGGATTCTTTTGGACTGGAAGGTGTAACTATTCATATGCATTCAGTGTTACATAGGAAACACAGGCATTAAATTAAGAATTACAGTTTACATTAATTGTATAACCAGCCAACAATATAATAAATAAAAGTCATTTCCAGCCTGCTTTTCACCAAATGTATATATATTGGCCTAATCTCTCCCCTACATCGCCACTGATCACTAGTTTGCCATTGAGGGTCATTTAATTAACTTTGAATCCACAATAATTAAATGAGTTCACACATATCACTTGGTATGTTGGTTCCCGGTCAAACCAATTCCCTGAATGAAATTACACCCAATTTAAATAATTCAAATTAGGGAAATTATAATCTCGGGCAATTACACATCTTCAAAAATGGAGGAAGTTGAATTAATGGAGCTCCGCATCAATGATGCATCTATCACACAGTGGTAATATAACAGGGATGATTTAATATCCAGACTAAGCTCTGAATAGGGGTCTATCTAAATTGTGGATCCTGGTTTATTTACAACGAGCTCATCTTGGTAAATATTAGCCAAGGTGGCCTGTGACCCTCTTCACCGGTCCCACTATGTTTTTATGTGATTGGGATTCAGCTGTTAGGCTGAGATGAGCTTTCATAACGAGTCTAATAAAGCCAGTCTTTACACAGAGCCTGACTTAAGCCTTTATCTGTAGAAATACTTATTAAGATAGGAGCTCCTTATCACACTGGTGCACGGACAAATCTCTCTCTGTGCCTGGGGGCTCATGAGCATGTGACTCTGCGTGTGTGTGTGTGTTCTACATGACTTACAAAGCTCTATGCACGCTCCACGTAGCATCAGAATGTATTTTTCAGGGTCCCCTGCTGTGAATGTGGAGAGATTTTTGGTTTGAACCTTTTCTTTTTCAAAGCTGTAGCTGAGAATTAATGAGCTGGCAACAATGAACACTTGGAATACAAAGATGGAAGAAATGAAAGAGTGAGCGAGAATGAGGGAGAAAGGAAAACTGTGAGAGAATGAGAAGGAGGTCGGGGATAAAACTCAGGCATTAAAGATGAATAGAGAAGCAAAGACTGTGGCCTTGAATGACTTGAACATGCGCACACACACACGCTCCTGCTTGTGTTTGTGAATGGAATCGGGCGCAGAGTATAAACGAACCACAAGAGGGCAGCAGAGTATCTGTGCAGGGCTTTGCTCTCTGTAATGACAGTATGGTAAAAGGTTAAAGGGAAGAAGAGCTTGTCATTTCATATAGTATCACACACGAGACGCAAAGCCAACACTCTCTCTCACACACACACACACACACACACACACACACACACACACACACACACAGGCAGAGGGAGAGCAAACAGCTTCAAATACCATTCACACATTTCCAGACTATCACCTTCACATCAGATTCAGCAGATTGTGCCAGACTTCACACACACACACACACACACACACACCTACACCTATACCTACAGACACACACACCTACACCTACACACACACACACACACACACACACAGAGCACCGTTCTCTCTCCTGTCTGTAAAGCCTCCTGCTGCTGTCGCTGTATTATGGATTAACTCTTTATTACAGGTGTACACAACATGTTTGTGTGTTTAGTGCCAACTGGGCCATCCAGCTGGATGTTTGTGAGGAGCCTCGGCTACGCTCTGCCATGACTCCACTAATCCTTCAGACAACTACTAACATGTGCTGCCGGTAGCTATCTGCATTTGCAGTATGTTAACTGCGTTACATTTAGTGTTTCGGCCCATTGTCCCTCAAATACACCTTGTGATTCTCCCACAATGCCTAAAACATCCCTGGACACACCCGTGGTTTATAGACTTTTTATGAATATTTCTTCCTTTCCTTACTCTTCTTCCTTGAGTGAGACCATCTGAGTCCAATAAGGTCAAATAAAGATAAAGACTGACAATGACAGAGATAGTAAGAGCAAGAAGACACATTGAGAAATGACTCAAACCTCAACCCACTCTTATGACTGTACTGGATTCAGGTCTATTTGCTGCTACTGTGGGTGCTGAAAGACTCAATTAAACGCCCCTTCCTATCATGGGTTTATCTCCCTGTATGATTGTTGAAAGTTGGTGAAAAATGCTCCAGAGAGAAGACTTCATGCCTTGAAAACCTGACGCTTCACTGACGCTAAGTGTCGGATTGTTTTGGGTGAATGGACCTTTCCTGATTATTAGACAAAAAGGAAGACTCTCTGCATCCTGTCCCCTAAGTGGGCCATCCTCTTCAAGAAATTCAGTACAGCCAACAGAAGAAAGAGTGAAAGCATCAAAAACATAAAGCAGCCTCTGCGTCTCCGGAGAGCTTCGTCTCATCTCACTCTGCCCTCAGAGCAGATTGGGTTCACAGCAAGGACCAACGTACAAAATCCACTGAGGGTTGTATCCGCACTGACAGCGATGCAACGTGGAGGTTTCAGACTCCTCGCCAGCAATTCTGCCTTTCAGGCCGTCCTCCAGTTCAGTCGGTCCCTGGGGTGACGCCCAGCAGACACAGTCCAGAAATTAGGACAATAAAGCAGAGCTATGAAACTACGATAACAGTCCTGGCCTGTAGTAAAGGGATATCAAATCATGGACTTTTATTAGAGAATCTGTCAGTTCTTTTTAATCCGAGGAAGGGCAATAAGCAATAGGATGTGGTTACAAGAGAGGTATGTTACTGAAGTCTAATAAATGATCATTTCAAGGGTCATTCCAGCCAGTAGCACTGATCAGCATTGTATCTCTTCTTCCTACAGTACTTGTTTTTTTATTCACTTTTATTCCCCTTTAAATCACTTTTATGTGTTTTGTCTTGCATTTCAATGTGTTTGGTTTAGATGATGTTATTTTTACATAGGTGGTATTTCTTATTCTGTTTTTCTATCTGATGTTGAGGACATTTTAGGACATCTATTTGAATGAACTGTATACTAAGCAATTATTGCCTGATAAAACAAGCTTTCTGACATATTGTACAGTATAGTAAAAATGATCAACATTAACTAAAAAAGGCCGACGGGGCAATTTACAAAAACAATCAAAACAGCAGCTGTTTTTATTGCCATAACATTCAGTAAACACTTACATAAACGTGTGCACGCACACACACACACACACACACACACACACACACACACACACACACACACACACACACACACACACACACAGTCAGCAGTGATGGATTTCAGTACATGGCTGCAATATTCACATCACTGCTGCTGGTCAGGAAGGTCAAGGGTTAACCCAACCGAGGGTGAAGACGGCTGCTTCATCAGCACCACAGGGATGGAGAGAGGGGAGAGAGAGGAGGACAGAGAGGAGAGGGAGAAAGTCATGGAAAGTAGGTCAGTGAGAAAACGTGATTAGCCCCAAAACAAACGACACCAGCAGCGGACGCGTGCCGCATCCGACGGCACCGGGCTCCTGTATCCTCTCCTCACGCGACCATCATCACGCCGGATTCAGATTTGTGTGCTGTGTGTACAGTGGGCTGGACGCCTCAGTGGATTCCAAGTCACGCTTACTGTCAAGACAGGTTGCCAAGCATGCACTTGCTGGCTCGCTAATACACACCAACACACACACAGACACCTCCTTCCCCTCACTGCCTTACATGGCGTTAGAGCGATCGCTCTAGCCGTTGCAGCCGTTTGTGTGGGGTTGCTAAGTGCAGCCAATATTTCACAAACACAGCAAAACAGCCACCCTGATATCCTGCTACGCTGCCATCCTGGACAGCAGAGACACAGCCGGCTTCGTCTCCTTCCAGGAACTCACTGAATTTGGCTTTGTGTTTTTCATTATGCTAAACTGAGCCAGGGAAATGCGGAAATTCTGTGTACTGATTTACAAGAAAAGCATCATTCAAAGAGCCACAATAGCTGAGAAAACAGGAGGAAGAGAAACACACTGACACAGTCTAAAGTGACTGATGACAGCTGATAGTGTTGCAAAGAAATGACAAAGTGGTGTTTCATGCCAAGACTGAATGTCTTCTCATTTTTAAGCCAAAAACACTCAAAGTTATTGATTTTCCTTCTTAATTTTGTTCTTGGCAGACAGTACTCCATAAAATATCATTCAGATCAGAATGGGAAGGGAACTAAAACTGTCACTTAAGATTAATTTGAGGATGCAGAGTGAAAATGAAATACTTTTGTAATTAATGCACAAATTAATGGAAGTGGCTGTACTGAGTTCTAACAGTACTTATATGGACAAAGATCTAATCAAAATAAATCCTTGGTTTCTGTGAGCAGGACAGTGGAATACCACTCAGCAAGCGTAGGTGAGATTTCCTAACCTGAGGGTTTCCTCCAGCTTCTGACCCTGGCGTGACGCATCTCGGGGGTCCTGAGCCCACCTGCTGGCCCAGCGAGGGGATGTGGGTCTTGACGGGCGCCTGAGGCAGAGCTAGAGCTGACAGCCTGCTGTGGGTCTGGGGGATGGGCAGGGCACTGTGCACCGGTTTGGGTTTGGGGAGTCCCGACTTCATCTTTGAGGCCACGAGGATGGCTGGCATCTTCTCCCAGGCCGCCTGATAACCGCACGCTCCCCTCCCTCTCACACTGAGATGGAAATCCTGCTACTAGTCAGCAAGACTCACATATGATCCGGCTACTTCTGTGAGTGTGACGGTGTTACCAGATTGAAGAAACACACTGATCTGCCTCTTGGGTGAATTAATGTCTGTCTTTTTGTTGGTGTCCAGGTCTTGGCTGCTCCTGCTGGATCTCAGCAGGGGGGTGAGCTGAGCTCCCCAACATGCAGTGGAGGGGTTTTAAACCCACCAATGCCACCTGTTTCCTTCAGCTCTTTATATCATGTAGAAAAGACCAAATCCTTCTCAGGTTCTGTTAAAGAAATGTGTGCAGATAGAATTGAGAAAATTCACTCTGCAAAGTCCAGGAAAGAAAATCAAAAATCCCACTTCACACTAAGAGGAATCCCCAGTTGCCTGGTGGCAGAGCAAATGTTCCCTTCCATTTGTTTCCAGCAGACTGAGAGTCAGCGTTTGGCAAAAAGGATCCTATAGGAAGCAGAGCAGTTCCTCTCCCACAGAGCCCTGTTAATTACACCATCGCTTCAGCATGACAGGAGGAAAGACTGAGCTGCATCGAGGAGAGGAGAGAAGGGAACATGGACCGGGAGATGGTGAGAAAAAAAAAGAAAAGGCAGGAGCGACACAGCGACCGTTCGCTTCAGCGACTGCTCAGCCTGTGACTGCACAGCCTGAAACACACTGCACTATGCTGCCTCGCTCCCTCTCCCTCTCTGGTAAGTCGTGGTTAGCAGCAGGTGTGGCTTAGATCAGGACTGACATATGTGGAGAAGAGCTCAAGACATCTACTCAGTATGCTCCTCCAGCCTGCCTCCCTCTTTCTCGGTATGTCTTACTTTCTTTAAATAGAGAAATGCCCATCTAGCTATTTATTCTCCTACTGAGTTAAAAAATGGTACTCAGCTTTTCCAGAGCAATGTGATCATTTTATTTGCAAGTGAAGGACTTTGACTTGAATCCCAACAATAACAATGACTTGAAAGGAGGGAAATCACTTCTCCAGTATCCATGTGGGTCACAATAAATAACTTAACTTCCATAGCAAGTAACAAATAATATCAGCCTACATTGAGATTAATTTAAATTTGATGAATATGTGTTATTTAACAAAACCTAGATTTGTGTAAAGCCTCACATGGACATAATGCATTGTCTAAATGTGAGACATTTGCTGTGATACAAGTTTATTGTTGGGTGGATTTTTAGCCATGCTAGTGGCATGGCTCTGGGGATTACATTGTTGGGTCAACCAACAATTTGGTTTGAAAACTGAAATATCTCAACAACTATTAGATGGACTGACATGGAATTTTGTACAGACATTCATGTTGCCCAGAGGATAAAGCCTACAGACTCGTTGGTGATTCGTTGGCCTGTATTTAGCCACGAGCAGGTCAAGATTTTCACTCATCCAGTGAAATATGTCAACATTTACTAGATGGTTTGACAAAACAATGTTGGTTCCCAGTAGATCCAAATAACATTTCCTGTAGTGCCACCCTGAGGTTGACATTTGTGGTTCTCAGTGAAACTATTTGATGGATTGGCATAAAATTTAATACACACATTTACATCCCCCTCAGAATGAATTGTAACAACTGCAACTGCAATTTAGCGAACATAATAGTGAACATGGTAAAAATGATACCTCCTGAGCATCAGTATGTTAGCAATGTCACTGTGAGCATGTTCGCAAGCTGATGCAAGTGTTTATTTCAAAGCACCGCTGTGCTGAAGTACAGCCTCGAAGAGCCACTGGCAACATGAGATCCAAATGTACTGTATGCTCGTGAAAATGAACAGAATGACCAGGTATAGAAAATATATACATGAATGAATGAAATTATGATGGTGTTATTCAAAAGTTGAAAGGGAAAGACGGTAACCAGATCTTCTTCTTCCTTATCCAAACAGCGTTATACTTCAAACTAGCCACATATAAAGCATTGTCGATGCTAGAGATACATTAATGTCATCAGAAAACTGTCTAATAGGGTTTCTTTTTGTGCACTGCAGGGAATATCAAACTGGTGTTGGTTTATTCAGTTTAAGAATGGTGTTCATCTTACTTTTCCATACTTACATACTAAAAGCTGATCAACTGATAAAATATTTTATTCTTTGATTAAACCATTGGACCAAATCAGTGTGTTCAAGTGCTGGTTCTTCATTTCAAGATGTACAGTATAACAGGCACTGACACTGAAAATGTTGTATTAATAGAATCTCTTCTCTGTACTCTCTCCCTCTTCTGACTCTATTAAGCTTCCCCTTTTTTTAAGTGTGAGGTTGGCCAATTAGTGGACTAGTGTCAGATCAGGCTGACTCCCAGCAGGCTTAGCGAAGGCTGCAGAGGTGTCGACTCAAATTCTACTGCAGAACCAAGGAAAAAAATATAAGCCTGGAGAAGGAAGGTTTTACATTTTCTCCTCTTCTATTCCATCACCAGTTAATTTAAGAATTTACATACAGATTAGTATGTGAATGAAGATTTGTAAACAGTTAACCCCCAAATGAGGATAAATACAAATCCTATAGACACATTTGCACTTGGCACTATATACTTGGAGCAGTTTAATGAAACTCGACTCAACTCCTTCATTTGGTTTCAGTTAATTTGGCCAGTTGAGAGCTATAAATACTGTATAAAAACTAATGTAAATCACAGTGAGACAAAAAGAATCAGAGTCTGAAACGTCTTCCAACAGCGCTTTGGTGTGGTTGGTTAGGAGTGAGAGCTGTTAACAACATATCAGTGTGAGTGCTGCCAGCTCATCAAGCTTTGAAAATGAACGTGGGTACTTTGGCTGCAACTAACGATAAATTAATAAAAACTGATCTTTTGAAGCTTAAAATGTAACAAAATGGTAAGAGAATAGCCCAAGGTGACACCTTCAAATTGCTTGTTTTATCCAACCAACCGTCTAAAAAAAGATATTCAGGTTCCCTATCACACATAAAGCAAAGAAAATCCTCCAAACTGAGAAGCCTTAAGAAGCGAATGTTTTATTGTTTGCTTTAAAAATTATTGAAATAGTTGCTGATTCATTTCCTGTTTAATCGATTATACATTAGATCACTTAAAAACGTAAATCACGTGGTGGCAGTACGATAAGATTAAGATTGTCTTGTCTGTGCCAAAGTTTGTCCATAAACATCTAGACAAGAGGAAGTAGTAGTAATAGTGTTGACATATATAGATTTTGACCTGCAGGTGGTGAATTGGAATTGGGACGCATCCTCGAATGTCTGTACAGATACAACTTTGTGACACTGAAATTCATTGTTAAAAATCGCTTTCTTGAAATGACACAGAAAGCCTCTTAAACACAGCAGCTGCTTACATCAACCCAAACCTTAGAGACATGAGGAAGTAAGTCACTAAATAGAGCACATACTGCCGCTAACCAGAGGAGGAAATGGAATTAGAGAAAGTACAGACAAACACACACACACACACACACACACACACACACACACACACACACACACACACACATGCGCACACACACACACACACACACACACACACATAGAGACCTTATAAAAGCAATGATTTAATCCAAGAGAGGATGTGTTTAGTATGTTAATCTTAATCCTGTTACATTAATCCTAAATTATGTAAATGCTAATATCTGATTATGATTTAGTGTGGTTTTGGTGTGTGTGTGTGTGTGTGTGTGTGTGTGTGTGTGTGTGTGTGTGTGTGAGTGTAGAGACAGGCAATGGTGAGGGTCCAAACATTTGACACACAGATTTAAGCAGTGATCAGACTGGACATTAATCACAAGTGCCTGCAACATTTAAGGTAGATTACATGTTTTCTTCAGACCACATTTTTAGCCTCACGTAATGCTTTATGAGGTGAACTCGTAATACGCTGTAGATCACAATAATTAGGATTCTGAAACTATAATTTCATTTACTGTATGATAATCACTAACTGCTCATAGATATTCCATCTTGTCATCAACTACTGACAGTATGTAACTGGTGATAAGTGAGCCAGGCTACCTCCCCACCCATACACCCATATCCTGACATCAGAACACTCACGAACTCACCGACTCAAACACACTATATAGGAAAATACATTAACTCCACCCTGCTAGCCTCAGATATCAATCTGTCATTTAGAAAATGAAAAGAAGAAAAACAAACAGAGCGAAGCAAAGAATAACAACGGAAACTTCCATTATTTTCCTGCTATCCTCTGTGATGGTAAACATGTACCAGACCCTCACAGATCACAACGCAGAACTTCACAGAGCAGGCAAAAAAAAAAAAAAAACTAGTCATGTGTGATTTATGTAGCAACCTTTGAAGATACCTGATGACAGTACCGTGCAGTCTAATAATAGAGCCGGTTCGGCTGTAAATGGGCGGTATTGACAGTAATAACTAGGACACCCACTGCCTGCTCTGCTCCATGTTTATACTGTATTTCTTCTCAGAATAATAAACATTCGTGTGGGGTAGATGGTGGGTGTTTGCTGTGAGCTCTGTAGCTATGGAGAGAGATTAGTGTCAACAGAGATTATAGATGAACTGCATACATGCTGAGGTACTGAATTATCAATATCAGGGAGTATAGTGGGACTACAAATTTAACTGGCCAAATCCTCTCCGACATGGTTTCTGGTCAGGACTGCATCAAAAGAAACGTGCGCGGGGGGGTTAATGGGGGCGTGCTGCTTCAGGTGTCGGTGGGATGATGAAATACAATCCAGGAGGTCCAGTTTGAGTAATAGATCCATGAGTTTGAAGGCTTATCAGACAGAAAAACATTGCACAGAGGTTTACAATATATGAGGCAGGATATTACCAGTCTGGAAAGTAACTATCATCGTTCTACCATGCATTTTGGTGATCGCCGCAAAACAAGTAAAAAAAAACCCAATGTGATTTCTTTATATGTTTGATTGACCATTACAGTGCTTGGTAGATAACATTACATTGCCTTGCAGCAAAAGTTGGGCCAGATTTAACTTTATTGGCTTCTGTATAACCAACCCTGCTGCACCAACGCAACGGTCTCATTCAAATGGATGAGAAGACTGCATTTTCTCATCTGTGTGAGAAGTGATCGTGCTAATTTTGTTAGTTGGGACTGCACCTACAGGTGGCCCTAGAGCAACATGATAAACTGGTCATAACTCACTGAGTAACTCGTGAGTCTGGCACAATTCATCCCTCAATAAAGCCTTCGATATTCAGCAAATATATCTGCGTTGTCCAGAAATCCGAATAATTGTCTATTATGTGTGTGTTATTAAATAAATATGTGGACCCAGATGCAGATTCAATATTCCTTAACTTTTAATATTATAAAGATTACATTTAGAGGAGTGTGCAGCCTTGATAGTGGTGTACACTCTTTGATTGCTTTCTAGTTAAAAAAAGAAATGGATCAAAAAGAAAACTAAAGCAGGTAAGTACGAAATCAATAACTGTTTTAATGTCCTTTATTTATTATTTGTGGTATTATTCCACTGTTATGAGCACAAGTCTGCTGTCAGTGATCCATTTCCATAGTCTCCATACAGCCAATTCTACCCCTATATCTCAATATTTATGCACTGCAAATG